TTTATAGTTATTGCTTTATTATCACAGAATAAGGAGCGGATTTCCACGTGCGCTCTAGAATTGGTCACAAAGTCTTCTTCTTGATTTTCAATCGTTTTAAACGTATGTACGTGAGCCGCCAATGGTGACTGGTAAATGTCACGGCCATCGCGAATATGTGGTGGGCCCGGGACGAAGTCCGCCCATCGACCACCAGGGGCGTAGCGCGCGTCGAGCGCGATGCGTTCAGGACGGGGCAAACTGCATTACCCCGCTTGCACATTACTTTACTTACCTCGAATCAAAAGACGACTACGTCGTAAAATGTTTTAAAACGATTGAAAATCAAGAAGAAGACTTTGTGACCAATTCTAGAGCGCACGTGGAAATCCGCTCCTTATTCTGTGATAATAAAGCAATAACTATAAATAAAGTGGTAAAATATATTTGACATTCCCCACAAATGTGTGGCGGGCCCGGGACGACGTCCGGCCATCGACCACCAGGGGCGTAGCGTACGATGCGTGCAGGACGGGGCAAACTGCGTTACCCCGCGTGCACATTACTGTATTTACCTCGAACCAAAAGACGACTACATCGTAAAATGTTTTAAAACGGTTGAAAATCGAGGAGAAGACTTTGTGACCAATTCTAGAGCGCACGTAGAAATCCGCTCCTTTTTTCTGTGATAATAAAGCAATAACTATAGATAAAGTGGTGAAATATATTCGACAATCCCCACAAGTGCGCGAGCCCCTACCAGAAGTTCGTTGCGCCGCCCTTGGGGGCAAAAGTGGTGACAGCTAACGTACGGTAACCAGAGGGCAGCACAGGAAGCGGCCGCGTGGCTTTGCTCGTGAACAATGTCCTAACTAATTTCTGGGTCGGGGCGTTTATTACGTTTTTTTTGGCGAGAGCGCTCACTTCTCGCACTGTCCGCACCATCGATGGAGTCCAGTGTACTCGGATGGTGATACCGTGCGACAGTTGACGGCGGTGGCTTATCTACGCTTGTCAATTAATGTGTTTCGCGTGATTTTTAATTGAGTTTCCTTCTACGTTCTAGATGCCAGGAAAACCATCCCTCGGATTCAAACGTTACCAGTTCAACTGACGATCCCAACGCTACATTAACCTATGTACATTCGTTACCCGTTCCACTGCACGGCGGTTTACATAAATATATGTCTAAAATCTGATTGAATCCGAGTGCCGTCGGCACTAGAGTTCTAAATCCAGTAAGTTATGTCAGAAACGAAGAGAAATTCCCGGTAACTTATCGGCAATTTCTCCAAAGCCTTTTTTATCGAGAAATTATGAGAATTTGAAGTTTTCAACAGAGCGAACGAGAGGTTTCGATTTGCTATAGAGAAACATCATAGAGAGGAATTTCCGTTGTACGTTCTCCGTAGCCAATCAAAACCTCCCATTCGCTTCGTTGCAGTATGTTCTCCGTAACCAATCAAAACCTCCCATTCGCTTCGTCGCAGAATGAAATATCAGTTCGTTTGAAACAAATGGCATGGAATTTTCCGTGAAGTTGTACATACGTGAATATTTTTAGCTGGAGGTAAATACGACCTTATAATCAATATTTTCTAACAGTAATTATTACTCTTTAGCTTGAACTTTGAAGTTGATTGAAAAAAAAAAAAGTTATTTAAATGAAGAAACCTAAAGTATAAATAACAAAATTAACGTTCTCTTAAATTCTCAATGTTCCCGGTAACTTACGGTATGTTTCACAGTTACCTTCTCCAATTTAATGTTACCGAGAATTTTCGAACTCTACATGTGGTATTCGAGTTTACCTCTTCCACTGCTGTGCGAGGTCTAGATATTTTATGGTGCAAGGTCCATTCCGTCTCGTCCGGGTCACGTGGCTCTCCCTGCTATGTTACGATTGGCCCATAGCCCAGCTAACCAATCGCCACCAAAGCCGTCTGATTGGGCGATTTCCTTTAGAGGCCACCAATTCCGATACTTCAAGCGAAACCAATCGAGAAGGGGCGACCGTTTGAACGAAACGCGCGAACTTGCCCGATACCTCACCTACGATACGCCCATTAAGAGACCGCGCTGTCTCTTTCTCGATGCGATATAACGCGTGTAAGACAATGACGCGACCATACAGTTCCTTTCTTCCGTTCCTCTTTCGGGGGGGCCGCTCTATAGTGCTACGAAGGCAATTCATTCATGGTCGTTCGTGGTCGTTGACTGTCATCGTTGGTCATTATCGTTAGTCATTGTCATCGACAAGAATCGCGGTCGTTGCTGTGCGTCGCTGGCTGTCATTGCCGTCGACAGAGTGCACGCAGGCGAGGCAGGCGACACGGAAGTGGGCCTTAATCGGGCCGGAACTGGCCGGAACTGGCCGGAACTCGGCATGGCTTTAGGAGTGTTTCGAGTGATGCTGCTGCCCGCGAGACTCGCCCGCTGAGGAGCAAACTTGTGGCCCTGGAAATCTGGAACGAGTTCGAGAAATGGCTTCGCTCTCCCTACCTCGGGTCCTGCAGCAGAGGAAGACCAGTTTAGACCTCGAGCGCGAGCATTTCGAAAAATTCCAGGTACAGGGCTTTAACGGAAGCACCGCAACACCGGAAAGTTGCGGACGAGCGCGGCGAACGTGCGAGCGAGTGGGAGTGTCGTTCCCGAGTTGGATTCGATCGCTGCCCGCTGATAGCGGTTCTTGCGATAGGGAAACGATCCAAATCGTTCGCTGATAACGAGATAAGCCGTTCCTTAACAGCAGTGAGTCCTTTGGTCCACTTCGCTCCACTTCGCTCGTCGGACGTTGAACCACACTTTGCGATTAATACATACTTTGTGCAGAGTACGTGGTGTTGCCAAAAAACCTTCTCTATTGTACCGTAACAACTTTCAAGATTTTTATTTCATACCGTTAGCTTTACAGATAATGCATGCATACGCAGTACTCGGCGCACCGGTACAGATTTCAGGGTGAGGAATGAAACGGCGAATCGTGATCTTTTGTACGTGCCGATCGTAGCACGATTTTGCTATAATTTTCATTGTTATCGTTTAATACCGCTAACATGTCACCTACACTACCCCTTACTGACAAGCAACTTCAGCTGCTGGTAAGTAAATCTCTGCTTTAGTTGCAGCCTTCGTTCCCCTGATTATTAAAATCCCTAATTTGTCATGTTATCCTATCTCATTGAAATAACTGGCTTGGTTAAACGACTAACGTCACCCGTGGATTCATTTTTGCGCAAGGATATTCATATTCTGCAAATCGTAGGTTTGTTTGAAAACCCTGTTCCACTTTTTTCAGAGCATCAGCATTGGGAAAGCGATAAATCCCACCGAGACTCCCGTCAAAGAGAAACATGTACGCAGTATCCTTTATTGTATTCTTGGGTAAAAGGAGATAAGCCTTGTGAAGTCTGAAAAATAGCTTTTTTTTTTTAGTATTTTTTGTGGCGCCTGTAAAGTAGGTAAACAAATAAACATTTTTGCATGGAATTAAGATTCTGTTGAAATGTTCAAAAATATTGTTTTATTGGATCATGTACAATTTTATTTTTGTATAAAGTTTGGATCCGCAGATTGTGTAAATTCTATCGGCTCTGCAACTGGAGTCCTTTAGTCCTCTGAAATCACAAAGCTCGAGATTGCTTAAAGTATGTAAAAGCAGCTTCAGATAAGAGTATGGATTATTTTTTACAATTAAAATTTTGGCCAGAAAATCACAAATAAATTGTCCTTTTTTGGATGATTTTTGGACTTTTTTGGAATTTATCCACCATTTTGTGAATAATCAAAATATTACAATTTCCATATTCTTAACCGATACTGTATTCACATACTTTAACAGAATTATGAGCTTTTTGATTTCAGATGACTTTTAAGAACTTCAGGTGCAGGGTAAATGAAGCTTCCACAGCCTACAGAGTTTACTGTGAACACATTTTATGTTAAAATAGAACTGCATTTAATAAAATAAATAAATATTTGTCAACGGTTGATGACATGACTAATTCTATGCAAAAATGTTTATTTATCTATCTGCTGTACTGGCGGCATAAAAAAGTTGAAAAAACGAGCTATTTCTCAACCGCTGCAGTGTTTGTTTCCCTCAACTTGCTTGCCGCAAAGTTTTTTATGGTGAACAAAATTTTTTTGTATAAGTCTATTCATGAGAATGAACCTTAACATGAAACAGGTGCAATCATTGGGACGTTTCAAGAAAAGAGCGGTTCCATCTTTTGGATGTTCATACTCCGACAGCCACTCCAGGAGAATCGCATCGTAGCTTGGAAGTTCTGCCATGTGTTGCACAAGGTGCTTCGAGAGGGTCACCCACGAGTCATACCTGACTCTCAACGACACCGAGGGAAGTTGGAGGATATCGGAAAGTTATGGCAACACTTGCGCGAGGGCTACGGACGCTTGATTCACCTCTACATTCGCCTGTTGATCACAAAGTTGGATTTCCACAAGCGCAATCCTCGCTTACCAGGGAATTTGCAAGTAACAGCCGAAGAATTGGAGGCGATCGGCGAGAACGACATTAACGTGTAGTAAGTTACTCTCCTCGGGACTACCGTTCTCGAAAGGACATAACTTTAAACCGAGGCTTCGACTTAGCTTTCAGATGACCGTGGAGATGTTCGACTATATGGACGATATCCTCAACTTGCAGCGAGCAGGTGCAAATCACAAAGTATTTATAACGGTTCGGCTGGTTACACTGGGCATCACTAGTGTGGAATATTACCACTAAACGTGTTCGATTGGCCAGTTTAGTTTATACTACCCTGAGAGAAAATGTCACTTTCTAAACACAAAGAAATTTTTGTGTCAAATAGATATTTACTGGCTATTATCGACAAAGTAAGATTTAAAAAAATTAAGATAAATGATAAAAAAATATTCAAGTTTCTTAAGGTGAAGTGAAACCCCCCTTCAAATTAGTAGATTCAAATAAGACACTTTTTTAAGGGTACTGAATCAAACTGTCTGAAACTTTGACACATGAGTCGAGATCATCTAAGACTTATTCTGTTACTTTAAAATTTGGATTTTCGGATAAAAATTGGTTGACTTAGCCTAGACCAGAACCAAAATGGCGTCGAGTTCGCATAGTTTGATCAATGTACAATCAAACAACAAACAAAGTTATGGATGGCTCTAATATGAGGAACAAAAGTGTCAGGACAATTGTATAACGATTTAGAACACTTTAGTAATCGAGAAACTTCTATTCGAATGGGCTAAAGGTAAAAAAGTCTCTTATGTGCTTCTATGGTAAAACAAAGGTAACATGAGGTCTCGGAGAGAAAATTTAATTGACACTAAAATTACAGACGACACGGGGTGGCACTCTACAGTCAATTAAGGCATCAAAAACCACGAATCCAGGGTAATTCTGGAGTTCTACATCGATTTCTTTATAATTATTGTACGGAAACGACATAAGGAGTACGCCGTTTGGTATAATATAATTCGAAAAAGCTGTCAATAGAAATACGAACGTCGGTATCATAGGTGTTTTGAAGAATCCTTTTTACCGATGTCGATCAAATTTCTTGACATGTTACACTTCACCTTAAGCTCTACTTTACTGAATCTATTTGACTCGTTATTGTAGCATTTTCGGTGCATAAACGTATTAGAATGAAAAGTTAATTCACTTCAAGGAGTAAAAAACTTAGAAAAAGTGAATAGCATTCTTAAAAGAAGCTAGAATTTAAATGAATTACTAGTATGTCTGATGTCGTTCTCAAGTCTTTGACAGTTACCAGTGAACTCTTTCTTGCATCGACTTCCAAGAATATTTATTCAAATTTAATAATTCTTCATATTAAACATTAAGTTATTTAAGCCCGATACAACATTCAATCCAAACTGTGATATAACTTTCATTGATGTTCTTTTATATTTCATCAATTTTGTACATGAAATTCTGTTGAAAAAAACATATTCACTTGATATTAACTTACCATCGTTTGGGTTGCAATACTGATGACTTTTACGAAATCAGTTTTACTGTTACCAAGAAATTTCTTTAGAAAAAAAAAACATTTAGTTTAACGCAAGTAATTAATTTCGCTTAGAAAGTCCATTTTTTGCTCAGTATGTATCAGCGTATTGCATTCAACTTGACAATGACGGGTTGATTGTATACTAATCTACACACAATTCGTTACACTTTTACCATCGCCGCTAAAAGCAAGTGTGACAAATTTGCAATATAGTCGCTTCCGCGAACGACCAACGTAAATAGTTGCAAGTAGTCCTGGATTTTGTAAGTTCTTTAGGTGAAGACGAAAATGCCGAATTGGAAATACTTGCGATAATTGATAAGAACGGTTACGTTATGTCAGGTTCCCATGAACTACTGTCGTGAACTGTCGTTTCGCACCCCCACAGATTTTCGGTATAAGGGGTGGAGCATTAGAATCGAGGTTGGAGCACTAAAATAGCACTAAAAAGGCACTAAATTCTCCAATACGTTTCATTCCATATTTCCGATGTGGGGGTGCCTACTGTACATACATGTTTCGTACGACACCTTCCGTCTAAACGTACAATCGTGAAACTTCCGTTCGAAATCACCATGTTAGGAAACAAGAGAGAAGAGATTAAACACGTTTAGTTTTTCAGTCGTATTCCCGCCTTCTTGCCGCAAAGTGACATCCCAACGCTCATTAAGTAAATTTCATGATAACGAAACTGCACGTTTTCTGAATTTGTATAAAATGAAATAAGTTCTGTAAGATTCTACTTTAGTAGAATATCGCGACCGAGATTTGCGTGCGGCCGCGGCTGAAGAAAATGAGCAAATCTTTGAATATATCTGGATTTGGAACGAAAGAAGTGATTGTCAAATTAAGGTGAAGTGAAACACGTCGAGGAACTTGATCAACGTCGATAAAGAAGATTTTTCTACATGCCTACGTTGCCGACGTTCGTTTTTATATTGACAGCTGGGTCGAATTATATTGGGTATTGTACCAAATGGCATATTCCACCTGTCGTTTTCGTACAATAATTATAAAGAAATCGAAGTGAAACTCGAGAAATCCTCTGGATTCATGCTTTCTGGGGCCCTAATTGACTGCAGAGGGACCCCCTGCGCCACCTGTGATTTCCAGGTCAATTAAATTTTCACTCCGAGACCTCGTATTCCCATCGTTTTGGCATAGAAGTGCATACAACACTTTTATTGCCTTTATCCCGGTCAAATGCGAGCTTATCGATTACCAGAGTGTTCCAAATTGTCGTAAAATTGTCCTCACCCTTTCGATTCTCATATCAGAGCCTTCGATAATTGTATATTGATAGAAATATGAGAGCTCGACGCCATTTTGGTTTTCGTCTGGGCTGAGTTAAAAAAGTTTTGTATAAAATCCAAATTTTGAATGTGCCAGGACAATTCTTAGATGATCAGAAGTGACGTGTCAAATTCTCGGATAGTTTGGTCTAATACCCTTAAAAAAAAGTGTTGTAAAAAAGTGTTGTTCGAATCGACTGATTTTAAGGGGGTTTCATTTCACCTTAAAAAATTCAACAAGTTCTGCCTGTCAAGGATTGAAGAAAAAGTGTTACTCCCAAGATCGATCGTTGCAATATCCCCTCTTTAACGCATTAGCGTTTTCTTTTGTATTATTTTGACGAAAGTGTTCTATTATTTTTTTTTTCATATTTCATATAAAACATAACTCAAAACGGCACAGCCTTCGGCAACAAGATCATTCATGGTCGGCGTTTCGTTTAAGACTGTTAAGGTGAAGTGAAACCCTTTTCAAATCACTCGATTCGAATACAATACTTTTTTTAAGAGTATTAGACCAAACTGCCTGAAACTTTGACACATCATTCCTGATCATCTAAGAATTGTCCTGACCCATTCAAAATTTGGATTTTTGGAAAAAATTGTTTAACTTGGCCCAGACCAGAACCAAAATGGCGTCGAGCTCTTATACTTCGATCAATATACAATTATCGAAGGCTTTGATATAAAAACAAGAGGGTCAAGACAATTTTACGACAATTTAGAACACTCTGGTAATCGATAAACTCGTATTTGAACGGGATAAAGGCAAAAATAGTGTTGTATGCGCTTATGTGCTAAAGCAATGGTAATACGAGGTCTCGGAGTGAAAATTTAATTGACCTGGGAATCACAGATGGCGCAGGGGGTCCCTTTGCAGTCAATTAGGGCCCCACAAAGCATGAATCCAGAGGATTTCTGGAGTTTTACTTCGATTTTTTTATAATTATTGTACGAAAACGACAGGTGGAGTATGCCATTTGGTACAGTATCCAATATAATTCGACCCAGCTGTCAATATAAAAACGAACGTCGGCAACGTAGGCATTTAGAAAAATCTTCTTTATCGACGTCGATCGAGTTCCTCGACGTGTTTCACTTCGCCTTAAATCAATGTGAACGATTCACGCTTTCGATTGTCGTGATTAGCCACGCAAGAATACACGCTAAAGTCGTTCACGACAGTGGGTCACACCCCGTGGAAACCCGACATAAAAGTTGCTTCTTAGCACTTCCACGGCATAACAATGCACAAGTGCGTACATAATGCAACACTAGTGTAAGAAGGTATAACCCAGCTGAATACGGTATTATACTCCTCGCGTCCCAAGTTCCACGCTTTAAAACTTTCTCTGCTTTCAGTGTTCGGCTCCTTGGACTTATCCCGCTCCAATTCGATGACGCCGTGTGGACAATGTCGACTAGCCCCTCTTATTCCTTGCATCCAGGACGCTTCGCAACTCTACGATTACTGCGTGAAGATGCTCTTCAAGCTCCACGGTGCCCTTCCGGCAGACACGCTCGCCGGACATCGCGACCGCTTTTTCAAGCAGTTTCAGGAACTGAAGGGCTTCTACAATACGGTCAAGCACATGCAATACTTCAAGCACCTCATTACCATTCCATCGCTGCCGGAAGTGAGTTAGATATTGCCGGCTCGATGAGCTTATCCGTTTGCGTACCAGATGGTTCTGAAAAAACAGGATCGAAAAGCGCCAAAGAGCGCGATCGCGCTCCTTCGATTACGTGTCGAAAAAAGCCGTATAGCGCAATAGCGCTTATCATATTGAAATTTCGGGTGGGCCGTCAGTCGTCTTGTTGTGCCGCAAAGGGTATTGGGGTTCTTCTCGAAGAATTTGTTAACTCCTTTTTGGCATTTGGATGTGGTTCTTTATTATGCACAAGACAATCACTGCATGACCTACGGTCCGACGGGCTCGGAGTTCGGAATAGGACTGATTGTTCTAAGTTCATGAAGTCATCCCGTAGGGATGAGGGTTTCTGATTCCGTGGAGCTGGGCTCAACGGTTCTTTCCCATAGTCACCGGACTCTGTTGTCGCGGACGTCGGGATCTCTTCCCACGACGCATTTTGACACCATGTAGTTCGCAAACTCTCATGTATGCATTTCTAAATGACTATAGACTGACGGCATGACAGTCTGTTTCGGCCAAACGCCCTGGCTTTTCTCGACACAAAATCTGAAGAGCGCGAAAGTGGCTCGTGGTACGCAAACGGTTATTATCATACTTCTTCGACTAGTGATGATGATACGAGTGATCACGTGGGTTTCCTGCAGAATCCGCCGAATTTCCTGATCCAGTCCGAGCTTCGGACGTACGTCACACCTGTTGTGGTTCTCCCACCGGAGGAATCGGTTGACAGCGAAACCGTGGTTGACAGCCTTATTGACACCTCCGATTCCATCTCGCTCCAGGGAGATCATTTGGACTCTGTTGGAAACGGTTCCATCTCTCCAGACGTTTTAGCAGAAAGGTAAGTACTTGCTGTGTAACCTAGGTCGGAACACCAAATGATTTCTAGTCTCTGTTCTGAACTCAAAATATTGCATACCTTGTAAAAGGGGTCATTCGAGTGATGATATAAGTTTTTAAGGCGATGTGAAAGTGACGCCAAACTAGTCTTGTTTATGAAACTTCTCCTTGAACTGGCTGTATCGAATCGTTTCAAAGTTTACAATGTGAATATAAAGGCTATAAGATAGGTCCTGACACCCATGAAATTTGAATTATTTGAAAATGTGTTTATATGTATATTTTAAATTTTTTATTAAAAATTAAATTTTATGGGTGTCAGGACTTTCCTTATAGCCTTCGTATTCGCGTTGTAAAGTTTGAAACGATTCGGTACACTTTGTTCAGAGAAAAGTTTCATGAACGATTGACCCACTTTCCTATCTCCTTAAACAAATCTACTTTGCAGGGACAGTCTCATCGATCACTTGCACCAGGAGAATGGGAGGCAGAGACAGGAACTTCAACGTTTGCGCATTGAGCACTATCAGATCGTGGAGGAACTCAAAAATCGAGTTTTACAGTTGGAATCGGCTCTCTCTGCTAAAGTAAAAAATGACAATGCTCAGGGGCTTAAGGCGATATGAAAGTGGCATCTGAGGAGTCAATCGTTTATAAAATTTGTACGAATCGAGTGCATCGAATTATGTCAAATTTTCCTACGTGAATCCCTAAGGAAGATCCTGACAAACGTAACATTAATTTCTTCTACAAAAGTAAAGAATTGTGTATAAAAATATTAATGAAATTTCGTGGGCGTCAGGATGTTTCTTAGTACAGCCAGTTCGAAGAAAAGTTTCATAAACTAAACTCTCCAGATGTCCCTTCCACATCATCTTAAGGTGATATGAAAGTGGCGTCAGAGTTCTCGTTCATGAAACTTTTCTCTAAACTGTGTGTACCGAATCGATTCGAACTTTACAACATAAATATGGAGGATATAAGAACGGTTCTAAAACTTATGAAATTTCAATTTTTTTTACAAATTTATTGATAGGTATTTTTAAAATTTGTTATAAAAAAAATTAAATTTCATGAGTTTCAGGGCCTTCCTTATAGCCTCCACATTCGCGTTGTAAAGTTTGAGATAGTTTACCACTTCCAGTTCGGAGAAAAGTTTCATGCACGATTAACTCTTCAGATGCCACTTTCACGTCCCCTTAATATATAAAGACGAAAAGAGAGAAACGGAGAACAACGCTTTATCGTTTCAGGGTAGCGAAATCGTTCAAGAGAAGCAACTGACGAAGGAATTGATGAAGCACAAGGCGGACTTGATAGCTAAGTTCCACGAAAGCCAAGGTCAGTATGCAACATTTTCTTTTGTATCCCAACTAGCCATATGAGGCTTCATCTTAAACTTATACAACTTCTCCGGTACCTTTTAGAAAAGAACAAGACCATAGAAGAGAAGTTCCACAAGCTGAAGGAGGTGTATTCGAAGCTTCGAGAGGAACATATCGACTTGATCAGAAAGGTAAGGGTGAAGGAAGCATTAGCGTTTTGTTTTTTTCTTGTTGGTCTTTTTCCACTGACCTGTGTATTAACTGGATAACTGATATCTACTTGTTCTAAACGGAGAAGGCTTCGAAGAATTCGAGACACACCAGCGCCAGTAGACATGGACAGCGATACTAAATAAGTAACATGTGCGCACGTGTAAAAGTTTTGAACCGTCTAACCGTCAATCGCCGCAATAATAAATTTTGAACTATCAATTCGCGAAGGTAAAAATTTAAGATATAAAAGGACAGAAGAGACAATTTACGCGTAAAATGGTGCGTTGAGTACATTCTAATTGTAAGAAAGCTGAAGCTTATTATAAGATATTATTAGAAGCTATTATTACAATTTAGTTGAAACTAAAAACCGTCCTTTTTTTTTCTCCTAAGTATTTTAATATTTCTCCTGAATATTTTTCTATTTTTGTGAGTTAATATTTCTCATAAGTATTTTAATAGAAATGCCAATTATTTTCTTCCAGCAAATTAATTTTACACCTTTTATACTATCTGCAGTTAAAAACGCGTTGTTTTGGCGCATGCGTAAATACTACGATATTAGTTGACTTGTCCATGATCGGAGGCGCTGTGGTGGCTTAAAAACACTGAAGTATATTATATATGGTAAACTTAGACGCTCACTAGCGGGTGCGGATCGAGCTGTCCTTGAAGTCATCCCCATTACTTGGTGTACAGTCCTATTACATTCTTTTTTTTTTTTTCATAGAGAACTATCCCTAGATAATTAATTACGGGGTATAATAATTAAAGATAAATAATGCGAAACGTCCTGCATGATTTTACTGCACAGATATATGACATTCTGTCAAACTATTGTCCTACCGATAAGATTTGCCCTATCAATTCCCTGCATTCCACTAAAGTTTCCTTTAGTACTGTTCAAATTATGCGCACGCGTCGCTTAAACAAGGGCAGGTACTTTTTCTCTGAGGGTGAAACAATGATGGAGAGCCGCTCATCGCGTATCTTTGTTGCACCAATGCTTACTGAACTCTGTGTGACAAGGATGCAGAGACAGCCAAATCTATCTCTCTCTGGGACTAAGTTCGCCGTATACTCTAAAGCGTGGTGAGCGTTCCAGTTTACTATATATTTCAGTGCTTCAAAACCTCACGCCATTTTCTAGGATATCAGGTATCAAAGAATTAAAAAATCTACCTAGAAGCCCAAAAAAATCCGGACGTTTGATACTCGATAAATAGTACGTTAGCCAACGGATGGCGGCGCTGTAATCATCTTTTTATTTCACTTAAGGTGAAATGAAACCCCCTTCAAATCAGTCGATTCAAATACAACACTTTTTTTTAAGGGTATTAGACCAAACTGTCCGAAACTTTGACACATCACTCTTGATCATCTAAGAACTGTCCGGACACGTTTAAAATTTTGGTTTTTTAACAAAATTTTTTAACTCAACCCAGACCGGAACCAAAATGGCGTCGAGCTCTCATATTTCGATCAATATACAATTATCGAGGGCTCTGATATGAGAATCGAAAGGGTCAGGACAATTTTACGACAATTTAGAACACTCTGGTAGTCGATAAACTCGCGTTTGAACGGGATAAAGGCAAAAAAGTGTTGTATGAGCTTCTATGCTAAAAGGATGGGAATACGAGGTCTCGGAGTGAAAATTTAATTGACCTGGAAATCACAGATGGCGCAAGGGGTCCCTCCGCAGTCAATTAGGGCCCGAGAAGGCATGAATTCGGGGGATTTCTGGAGTTTTACTTCGATTTCTTTATAATTATTGTACGAAAACGACAGGTGTAGTATGCCATTTGGTACAATACCCAATATAATTCGACCCCGCTGTCAATATAAAAACGAACGTCGGCAACGTAGGCATTTAGAAAAATCTTCTTTACCGATGTTGATTAAGTTCCTCGACGTGTTTCACTTCACCTTAAAGAAAACCAAAGTTGAACCGAAATTGCATCGGAACTGTTATTAGTTCTCGGTTCAGGCCTTGCTTGGTTACAATAGTCTCTGTTGTCAATAGAAAGCCGACGTCGACAAACAATTGGGTGGTATCAAGATCGTTCAGGAGCAGGCGGAGAGAAGGACTCAAGAGGCGGAGCAACGTCTTCAGGAACTCGTTCAGGGCCAGACAACCGCCGAGCAGGAGGCGCAAAGGGTTGCCCAGGCTCGTGCCGACCTGGATGACGTGCGGAAACAATTCGACGAGTCTAAAACCGAGAATCTGGTAACGAAAGACTCTCCTGCGCCTCTCTAATTAATCGTTTGAGTCCCAAGCAGCGCGATCGCGCAGTTCAGATTTTATGTCGAGAAAAGCCAACACATTTCGAGCGTTGTGGACAACTAGCGGTACATCACCGATTGTCGAAGTCGCGCGCTCAGATTTACTGACCCAAGTACATCTCCTTCTTTTATTGTAAATAATACATCTTACTATTCAAGAAACGCTATCGCGCCGATTAGGATTCATCGACATAAAATAAACGAAGCGCTATCACGCCGCTTGGGATTTATCGACATAAAATAAAAGAAGCGCTATTGCGCTGTGGAGCGTCGATAGCCCATCCGCGTTAATTATTAGTATAAATTTAATCTTTTATAATCGCTCGAGTCAAGGCCCACGGAAACTCGAGGTCCTTCCCACGCGTACCGAAGGGCCCGAGCCATCCTCGAAAGGGGGGCAATAAAACTTCCGAGTCCGAGCATTCTCAAAGGGTCTCTTTTCGAGGGTTTTCGCCGAAGGTCCGAGATGACGTCTGGCGAACAGATTTTTTAACTTTCTAAAAATTCCAAGGCCCGCTTCTGGCGACCAGACGTCACTCGAGGGTTTTTTCCGCGAATCCGCGGCCTACGTGACCGGCCGTTTCGCGAGTGCCTTCGAGGACGGAAACCCTTCGGGAATTTTTTCCCTGCCAATGAGAATGCTCGACTCGAGGTCCGACTTCCTCCCTCCACCGAGTTGGAGGGAGAACTATGCATTCGGATATTTTTTAAGACATTTTGTAAAAATCAGATACCAACCGAAAGTTGCTGAGACAACTTCGGATCTCAAAAACGTTGCCGAGTCAACTGAGAACATAATCCTTTCGTTGCCGAGTTAACGCAAGTCCAAAGTTAACAGTTGCCGAGTCAACTGACTACCTGCATAAAATCACACATCTTCCCTTGTCCGTAAAGGAAATATAATTTATTGTGTCACTAAAATCCGGAATAATTTCATTCAAAACGCGAAACCAGCTGCTGGCGGTTAATTCCCCCTTCAGCAAAACACTATTCGAGCCCGTCTTCCCCAGCCCGAGGATTTACGACCCTCGGGGATTGATTGACAATCGCGAGCTGGTTTAGTGTCGCAGAACACGCTGTTCGGGATTCTTTGACAGGGTTTTTTCAATACCCCCTGGGACTCAAACGGTTAAATACGGCGTCTCGACGATGCACCAACTCATATTTCTGCGACTTCCTTGATTTCAGGCCCTGATCGCCAAGATCGACTTCGTCGCCTCGGAAAAAGCCGCCGTGGAGGGTGATCTCCACGACCTGCTGGCCCAGAAGGAGGAGCTCGATGTTAAGATCGGAGAACTCGAGGCGGAGATCGCGCGGTCGCGAATCCAGCTGAAGACCGATGCCGAAGCTATGCTCTACGAATTGTTGCGTGGGTTGATGACGGGTTGTCACGCTTTCAGGTGATATGAAAGGGTCGTTTTGTATATATAGAACGTCAAAATATTTATAAAACTTTTCTTCTAACTATGTGCACCGAAGCATTTGAAACTTCAGCATGTGATTATGAAGGCTCTAAGGAAGAACGTCGTGTTCATTTCATTTAAAACAAAAAAATGTATTGGTTCTAGTCTGGGATAAATTGAAAATAAAAAAACGTTTTATTAAAACTGAAACTTCATGAGCACCACGTTCTTCTTTAGGGCCTCCATAATCACGTGCTGAGGTAAGGTAAGTGTACCAGTGGTCGAACACGTCCCAGGTACCGAACACCACCTTAAATATTTCCTTTTAGTAAGCATTCCGTGAATAATGACTGTTTGAACACTGGTACCTTCCACTTTTCCATCGTCTTCGCAGCATAAATAATGAATTACTCAATATTTACATATACATAGCATGTGTTTTGGAAATTAGAAATTCGGTTTTTACGTTGATTCAAGTCACCTGTACCTCGTATCGGTCTTTATGTGCTTAATCTTGATCTGAATCTGAACGGTGTCTTAAGTGTTCGACCACTGATACGCTACCTTACCTACAATTCGGTGCATTCAGTTTGGAGAAAAGTTTTATAAATATTTTGACGTTTTATATATATAGAATGACCCTTTCATGTCATGATTCAAGGTGATATGAGAACGGTGTCTGTAGGTCTAGTTTATGAAACATTTTTTTTCTAACCGAATGCACCGGATCATTTGAAATTGTACCATGTAAATATGGAGATCCTACGAAAGGTCTCGGCACTCGTAAAGTTTCAATTTTTTATATTCTTTGTGACCTAGTTTTTAATTTTTTATAATAAATTAATTTGCTTGCGTACCGGGGCCTTCCTTAAGGCCTCTACATTCACGTGGTAGAATTTCAAACAATTCGGTACATCCACTTCGCAGAAAATGTTCATAAACGATTGATCCCTCAAATGGAAATTTCATATCACCTTGTTTTTAATTTTTTATAATAAATTAATTTGCTTGCGTACCGGGGCCTTCCTTAAGGCCTCTACATTCACGTGGTAGAATTTCAAACAATTCGGTACATCCACTTCGCAGAAAATGTTCATAAACGATTGATCCCTCAAATGGAAATTTCATATCACCTTAAGGTGATACAAAAGGGTCATTCTATATATATAAAATATTTATAAAACTGTTCTCCAAATTGGATGCATCTAATAATTTGAAACTTCAGCACATGATTATGGAGGTCGTAGGGAAGAACATGGTGCACATGAAATTTCACTCAACGAAAAAAATATATGTATTCTTGGTTCTAGTCTGGCATTATTACAAAAATTTGGTATAAAAAATAAAATTTCATGAGCACCGCATTCTTTCTTAGGGCCTCTATAATCACTTGCTGAAGTTTCCATCGATTCGGTGAATCCAGTTTGGAGAAAAGTTTATAAATATTTTGACGTTTTATATATGTAGAATGACCCTTTCATGTCACATTAATAATTCGTTATACTTGAACGACCATAAGACATGACTCCTTAATTTAATATCGTTTTCTATTTTCAGTGAACTGTATCTCCGAGGCGGAAAATGTCCTTCAGGACTCAATGCAGAGAATCGACAATCCCGCGATATCGGCCGTGACGTGCACTCCGGATTACCTCGGAAGCCTCGTCGAGCAGACGCTGAAAACCGCCGAGGATCTCGACAGCGCTTACAAAAATTACGTGGCGGATCCTTCGCAAAGAGGCCCCCTGATTCGCACGACCATTCGCACTGCGTATGCTTTGGCTGTTTACCTAATTCACGCTAAATCGACATCGAACACGGCGACGGACATCGCCTTTGGCGATAGTAAGTTCAGCAAGCACTCCTGTGCATGCACGATTTTCTGAATCATTATCTAACACATTTTGACGAAAACGTGAACAATTTAATATGGCCCTCATGAGTTATTCTGACGTCAAAATTCAATATGGCCGACATGGCTTTACTGGATCTTAAGGTGAAGTGAAACACGTCGAGGAACTTGATCAACGTCGATAAAGAAGATTTTTGTAAATGCCTACGTTGCCGACGTTCGTTTTTATATCGACAGCTGGGTCTAATTATATTGGGTATTGTACCAAATGGCATATTCCACCTGTCGTTTTCGTACAATAATTATAAAGAAATCGAAGTAAAACTCCAGAAATCCTCTGGATTCATGCCTTCTGGGGCTCTAATTGATTGCAGAGGGACCCCCTGCGCCATCTGTGATTTCCAGGTCAATTAAATTTTCACTCCGAGACCTCGTATTCCCATCGTTTTAGCAAAGAAGCGTATATAACACTTTTTTTGCCTTTATCCCGTTCAAATACGAGTTTATCGATTACCAGAGTCTTCTAAATTGTCGTAAAATTGACCTGACCCTTTCGTTTCTCATATTAGAGCCTGCGATAATTGTATATTGATCGAAATATGAGAGCTCGACGCCATTTTGGTTTTGGTCTGGACTGAATTAAAACATTTTTTCGAAAAATCAAAATTCTATACGTGTCAGGACAATTCTTAGATGATCAGGAGTGATGTGTCAAAGTTTCGGACAGTTTGGTCCAATACCCTTAAAAAAAAGTGTTGTAATCGAATCGACTGATTTGAAGGATGTTTCACTTCACCTTAAGATGATATGAAATGTGCTGAGAAATTTAATCGACATTGATAAATTAAAATTCATCTATATCCTTTTTGGTGGTAACACCGTTTTGAATACTCATGTGGTAAAGTAAGCTACCGCGTCACGTTACCGACATTTATATTTATCTTGAAGTTTGTTATATTCCATGTTGACCATTATACGAAATGAAGCGTTCCATATGTCATTTCGGTAAAGGAATGATAAAGAGATCGATGTAAAACTGTTGAGATCCCGTGGATTCATGATTTTTGATATGCTAATGGACTAATGGCGCCATCTGTGACGCTAGTTGCAAGTCATGTTTTGCTGTAAAAACACGTATTACCCACGGAACAAGCCAGCGTTCCCTTGCAATCGTTCGTAAAAGTATTTTCCATATTTTCCCATCTGACTTTGCAATGTACCATTTCAATAGTGTTCTAAATTGTTCGAAGTAGGTCCCGAAACTCCTCATTTTCGAGGCTAAACTTACAAAAATCGTGAAACATTAAAAACTTGCATAGACGACGCCATGTTGGTTATGGTCCATGATAAATAAACTCATTTTTTATAAAATTAACTGAAACAGGACATAAACTAGAATCAACATGGCGTGGTCCGTGCACGTTTTGGATGTTTTACGTCTTTTGAAGACTTACATTCGAGAATGAAGAGTTTCAGGGCCTAGCTCGAACAATTTAGAATACTATAAAAATGATATTGGGTTGTTCGGAAAGTAATTTCGTTGTTTCCCAACAGACGACTTAATTTTTTTGTTCACGGCCAACTTCACACTTAAGCCGCATAATCATTATATATTTTAACAGCTGACCTAGCAAGGCTTGCTTGTGAAAAAGTTTGATTGATTCTACGCAGTAGTTTTTGGTTGGTACCCTTTCAAATATGGAAAGTGAAAAGCGGCATTTTCGGCATATTTTACTTTTTTACTATCGAAAAGGTAAAAATGCTGTTCAAGCAAGAAAAAAATTATCCGACGTGTATGGAGAAGATGTATTGACGGAACGCCAGGGTCAAAACTGGTTTGCAAAATTTCGATCCGGCAATTTTGATATCGAAGATGCCCCACGTTCTGGAAGGCCACTTAAAGCTGATGAAAACACAATAAAGGCATTAATTGATGCAAACCGGCGAATAACAACTCGTGAAATCGCTGAGAGATTAAATTTATCGAATTCGACCGTTCGTGATCATTTGAAACGCCTAGGTTTAATCTCAAAGCTCGACATATGGATTCCTCGTGTTCTTACGGAAAGAAATTTGTGTCATCGCATTGACGTCTGTGATTTGCTTCTCAAACGTCAAGAAAATGATCCATTTTTGAAGCGCATCATCCCTGGGGACGAGAAATGGGTTGTCTACAACAATGTTACACGCAAGAGATCATGGAGTAAAAAAGATGAACCGGCTCAAAGAACTTCGAAAGCCGAAATTCATCAAAAAAAGGTGATGGTATCTGTTTGGTGGGATTTCAAAGGAATTGTTTTTTTTTGAGATTCTACCGAACAACACAACGATCAATTCTGAAGTGTACTGTCACCAGCTGGACAAATTGAATGATTCACTTAAACAGAAGAGACCAGCATTGATCAATAGAAAAGGTGTAGTGTTTCACCAAGATAATGCGAGACCTCATACAAGTTTCTTAACTCGCCAAAAGCTTCTACAGCTTGGATGGGATATACTGCCACCCCCACCATATTCTCCAGATCTGGCATCTTCTGATTATTACTTGTTCCGGTCTCTACAAAATTTTTTAAACGGTAAAACCTTTACTTCAAATGAGGTCAAAAATCATCTGGATCAGTTTTTTTACAGCAAAAATCAAACATTTTATGAGCGTGGAATCATGCTACTGCCATAAAGATGGCAAAAGGTATTGGACCAGAATGGACAATATATAATTCAAGAAAATATTTATTCGCTATAAGAAAATCGTCTTTCATTTTCATAAAAAAAAAAAAACGAAATTACTTTCCGAACAACCCAATATATTACGCAATCAGATGGGAAAATATGGAAAATGTTTTCACCAATTATTGCAAAGAATGCTGGCTTGTCCCATGGGTAACACATGTTTTTAGAACAAAAATTTAATTGCAGCTAAACGTCACAGATGGGGCTGTTCGCCCATTAGAGTGTCAAAAGTCATGAATTGAAAATCGACAGTTTTACATCGGTCTCTTGATCATTACTTTACCGAAATGACACACTGACCGCTTCATTCCGTATAATTCTCAACGTATAGTGTAACAAACTTAGATAAACATAAATGTCGGTAACGTAATGCGCCAGCTTATGTTACCACTTGAGTATTCAAAACGGCGTTACTTCCGAAAAGGGTATAGATGAATTTTATTATATCGACGTTGATTAAATTTCTCAGCGCCATTCATATGTGCCCATAATTATGAAAGTGGTCTAAGTCAAAATTAAAAAAAAAAATGAGTTTATCAGTTATTTCACGCCATATTATTTCAAACGAAATTAATTCAATGTAATTTCGCAACAAAAAATATATGACTTAGACCACTTTCATAATTATGGGCACATATCACCTTAACAATTTTACTAAAAATGTACGCTTGTCAAGGACTGGCAGACGAGTGCAAACAATTGGGATCGCAAGGACTGATTATGCTCAGCTACGTGAAGGAGAAGTCGCCTCTGGCCAGCGAGCAGATCGCTAGCGTGAAAAACCAAGTGAAGAAGATTTCCTTGCTGGTCGACTCACTCTCTAGTGGTCAAGGCAACATCGAGTCCATCGGAGACCTCGTGGAGAATGAGCTCTCCGGCATGGATGCTGCGATAGAAGAGGCCGCCAATAGGATACAGGTGATTTACCGCGAGATGGTCAATTCTCAGTATATATGTGCCCATAATTATGAAAGTGGTCTAAGTCAAAAATTAAAAAAAAAATGAGTTTATCAGTTATTTCACGCCATATTATTTCAAACGAAATTAATTCAATGTAATTTCGAAACAAAAAATATATGACTTAGACCACTTTCATAATTATGGGCACATATAATAGTCGATACCTTGATCTCTGGTAACTCCATCTTTCCAGGACATGCTCAAAAAATCTCGAGTAGCCGACTCCGGCTTGAAACTGGAGGTTAATGGGAAGATCCTGGACTCCTGCACGGAGCTGATGAGGTGCATCAGATTGCTCGTCAAGCGGTCCAGATCGCTGCAGACCGAGATCGTGGCACAAGGAAAGGTGAATAGACTGCTGAGGTGTTACCTTACGTTAGGAACCTAAATTGAGACCCAAAAACCTATTCCTTTCGTTTTTAGGGCACCGCCTCCGCTACGGAGTTCTACAAGAGGAATCACCAGTGGTCCGAAGGCCTTATTTCCGCAGCCAAGGCAATCGCCATGGGAGCGAACTTCTTACTGTGCGTGAACGTTCAATTCGCCGCATTTAACCGTCCGCGTGGAGACGCGTAGCGTACGCTACATGGACAGGAATAGAGGGACCGGGCATTTGTCCGCGAGGTTGAAGCCTAATAGTCGGCCATATTGGCACGTTCAAGTTTTAAAAATCACAGAGTCAAATAAAGCGGTAATTTAACGGCGTTCACCACCAAAGTGGGGACGATGACTTCCACCGCTAGATGGCATTAGCATCGAATTCGGTGGGAGGTAACCAAAACGTACTTTCTCGCTCGGATGAGGGAGATGCGACGCATAATGGGCGGTGTTTAGCAACGGGCGAAAAATGTGTGCGTATTATGCACGTATAGGACTCACCCAACGGCTAGACGCCTCTGAACTAGGCGCCGAAACGTGGGTGACCCCCGGCCACCCGCACACGCCAGTTGGACGCTCCGCCTAGAGTCGGCAACGGTTGCCAAGGAATGCCCAAATTCCTCGCGAGAAAGTCGAAAATCCTGAAAAAGGTGCTCCACGGGGACAACGATTTTGAGCGTATTTCTCAACCGATCGAGTTCAACGGGTGCTCGTTTTAAAGATAAAATGTTAACGTGTGTTTATATGGAAGCGATTTTCGATCGAGCACCTCCTTCCTAGTTAAAAGGGCATTGAAATTATGTCGTTGCACTTTTTTTTATATGAAAATGACCACTTATCGAAAATCGCTCCCTTATAAACACAGGTCAACGTTCCATCTTCGATATGAGCACTCGTTAAGCTCGATCGGTTTAGAAATACGTTTGGAATCGTTGTCCCCGTGAGGCCCTGCAAAATCACTGGAGTGGTGAGCGCCCTTAAATATGACAAATTGAACATTTTCAATTTTGTCGTTCTCTAAAAACGATCAATACTCCGGGTGGTTCGCAGCTCCAAGAAAAAGATTGGGAAGGTGAAGAAAAGGAAACAAAATGAACCCGTCGTTTCGTTTCGGGTGTAACTCGAAAAATTGCTTCTTTTTAAATTTAGTAACGTTATTTTCAATTCTGAAAAGGTAACAAGTAAAAGAACAGTGGCGTATGTTAGAATATCTACGAGTAATTATCTGTTACTATTAACTGTAGAGAAAACGTTTAAAAACCTAACCTAGACCACAATAGTTACAGCTTTGGGTTTAAATTTCGTTGTTTCTTTTTTCATTTTACTCTCAGGGTAAAAAGTAGAAGGGCCTATTCAAATCTCGTGCCACGTTTTGACATGGTAGTATAGTTGTCCCCCCGTGTATAAGTTACCGTCTTATGCCCAGACCCCTCTATTCCTGGGTCCATGGTTAGAGTTCGAAAATTGTCGGTAACATTAAATTGGAGAAGGTAACTGTGAAACATACCGTAAGTTACCGGGAACATTGAGAATTTAAGAGAACGTTAATTTTGTTATTTATACTTTGGGTTTCTTCGTTTAAATAACTTTTTTTTTCCAATCAACTTCAAAGTTCAAGCTAAAGAGAAATAATTACTATTAGAAAATATTGATTATAGGGTGGTATTTACTTCCAGCTAAAAATATTCACGTATGTACAACTTCACGGAAAATTCCATGCGATTTGTTTCAAACAAACTGATATTTCATTCTGCGACGAAGCGAATGGGAGGTTTTGATTGGCTACGGAGAGCGTACAACGGAAATTCCTCTCTACGATGTTTCTCTATAGCTAATCGAAACCTCTCGTTCGCTCTGTTGAAAAATTTAAATTCTCATAATTTCTCGATAAAAAAGGCTTTGGAGAAATTACCGATAAGTTACCGGGAATTTCTCTTCGTTTCTGACGTAACTTACTGGATTTAGAACTCTATCCATGGTACTCTACAATTTGATTCTTTCCAGGGAGGCCGCCGACAAAGTCGTAACAGGAGGCGGGAAGTTCGAGCAGCTCGTGGTCGCGTCTCAAGGAATCGCCGCGTCGACGGCCCAGCTAGTCGTGGCCAGTCGGGTGAAGGCTAATCGCAACAGCGAGAACTTGTCGGCGCTTTCGGAGGCCTCCAGGGAGGTTACCCGGGCCACGGGAAACGTCGTCGCTACTGCAAAGAGTTGCGGCCAACTTGTCGAAGAAAACGGTACTATACGTAAACGTTATCTGAAAGTCTTTTCCCCCTGGGCTCCTATTCTCGAGTTCGTATAGATTTTTATTTGCATACGACTAGATACGCATTAAAAATTTTGCATTGTTGCGAATTCGCGTCATTGGTCGACGTTTGGAAGTCGTGGACGAAACTGTCAGTTTCGCATGCAAAAGTTGATCGTATGAACTCGAGAATCGAATTCCTGGTATGTAAGGTATGCACTAAATATAAGGTATCCAAAGTGTGCCCAAACCTTAGGCATCTAAGGCATCCTACGGTACCTATGGTAGCTCGATATACATGCCAAATTCAAGATATCCGAGGGATCCAAGGTATTTAACCCTTTCGTTACCTTGGACGAGATATCTCGCGACTCNTCTGGTCCAATACCTTTTGCCATCTTTCTGGCAGTAGCATGATTCCACGCTCATAAAATCTTTGGTTTTTGCTGTCAAAAAACTGATCCAGGTGATTTTTGACCTCATTTGAAGTAAAGGTTTTACCGTTTAAAAAATTTTGTAGAGACCGGAACAAGTAATAATCAGAAAGTGCCAGATCTGGAGAATATGGTGGGGGTGGCAGTATATCCCATCCAAGCTGTAGAAGCTTTTGGCGAGTTAAGAAACTTGTATGAGGTCTCGCATTATCTTGGTGAAACCCTACACCTTTTCTATTGATCGATGCTGGTCTCTTCTGTTTAAGTGAATCATTGAATTTGTCCAGCTGGGGACAGTACACTTCAGAATTTATCGTTGGGTTGTTCGGTAGAATCTCAAAAAAAAAAAACGATTCCTTTGAAATCCCACCAAACAGATACCATCACCTTTTTTTTGATGAATTTCGGCTTTCGAAGTTCTTTCAGCCGGTTCATCTTTTTTACTCCATGACCTCTTGCGTGTAACATTGTTGTAGACAACCCATTTCTCGTCCCCAGGGATGATGCGCTTCAAAAATGGATCATATCCTTGACGTTTGAGAAGCAAATCACATACGTCAATGCGATGACACATATTTCTTTCCGTAAGAACATGAGAAATCCATATGTCGAGCTTTGAGATTAAACCTAGGCGTTTCAAATGATTACGAACGATAAATTTAATCTCTCAGCGATTTCACGAGTTGTTATTCGCCGGTTTGCATCGATTAATGCCTTTATTGTGTTTTCATAAGCTTTAAGTGGCCTTCCAGAACGTGGTGCATCTTCGATATCAAAATTGCCGGATCGAAATTTTGCAAACCAGTTTTGACCCTGGCGTTCTGTCAATACATCTTCTCCATACACATCGGATCATTTTTTTCTTGCTTGAACAGCATTTTTACCTTTTCGATAGTAAAAAAGTAAAATTTGCCGAAAATGCCGCTTTTCACTTTCCATATTTGAAAGGGTACCAACCAAAAACTACTGCGTAGAATCAATCAAACTTTTTCACAAGCAAGCCTTGCTAGATCAGCTGTCAAAATATATAATGATTATGCGGCTTAAGTGTGATGTTGGTCGAAAAAAAAAATTAAGTCCTCTGTTGGGAAACAACGAAATTACTTTCCGAACAACCCAATTGAATGTCCCTTTTATATCACCTTAAGGTATCAAGATATCTAAGGCATCTTATGGTATCCCGGGTATCTATTTTAAGGTATCCATAGTATCTGGGGCATCTTAAGGTATCCGAGATATCTAAAGCGTTCTAAGGTACCCAAAGTAGCTCAAGGCGAGTGCTGATTTCAACATATCTTAAGATTTCACGAGATATGTGCCAAATCTAAAATATCTTAGGCATCTTAAAGTAGCCAAGGTATCTAAGCGTCATATAGCAACCAAGGTATCCAAGTCATCGTAAAGTATCTCAGGTCGCTAAAGATAAACGTTAACCTTAAAATGTCGTAGGCATCTCAAGGTACACCGAGTATGTAGAGAAAACCTTCATGTTCGTCGGTGTATTATTAGCGTAAGTTACTGCAGTTTCTTCGTTAAAATCCTTCAAAACAAAATCGCACGAACTTCCTCCTCAACCTAATCTCTACAAAAACTGCCTTCTATGCATACAAATTTAGCCAAATACATTTACCTTTCCTCAGTTAATTGTAAAAACAGCTCAAATCGCGTTTTCTTCGCGAACAGCATAAATGAACTATTTTTGCCAGATACGATGGAACCATGGTGCCATTAAAATGATATGAAAGACGCTGAGAAATTTAATCCAGGTCGATAAATTAAAATTCATCTATGCTCTTTTTGATAGTAATGCCGTTTTGAATACTCAAGTGGTAACAAGTTGGCGCGTCACGTTACCGACATTTATATTTATGTTGAAGTCTTTTATAGTCTATCGTTGAAAATTATACGAACTGAAGCGTACCATATGCCATTTCAGTAAAATAATGATGAAGGGAACGATGTAAAACTGTCGAAATCCCGTAAATTCATTATTCTAACGACTGTTTAAGAGCAACGTCGCCATCTGTGACGTTTAGCTGCAACTAAATTTATGCTATAAAATCATGTGTTAGCCCCGAGACAAGGTAGCATTCTCCTGCAATCGTTGGTGAAAGTATTTTCCATATTTTCCCATCTGACTCTGTAATGTCCATTTCTACGGTATTCTAAATTGTTCGAGCTGGGTCTTGAAACTCTTCATTTTCAATTCTAAGCCCCCAAGAAGCGTAAAACATCGAAAGCGTGCACGGGCTACGCCATGTTGGTTCCAGTCCATGATAAATAAATAAATTTTGGAAGAAAAATGAAATTTCACGAGTTTCAGGACCAACTTTAGAGCCTTCTATGCCCGTGGTAAAATTTGAAACGAATCGGCACCCTCAATTCGGAGAATACTTTTACCAACGATTATCTCTCAGATATCTATAGGCTGACTCTTTCGTGTCATCTTAAAAATCTAAATTAAGTATTTTTGCCAAATATCACAGTACATTTTATTTCACGTAAGATATGCGTATTTTCTATGAATTATTATTTTCCTTAAAATCATAGTTTGTGTTGCGGATGTTCGAAAGAAAGTCTGAACGCGGGTTGCACTGGATGTGAGAGCCAAATTTGAAGACTGGTTAATTCTCGACGAAATCTCGAGTCAGGTCGGTTTTATGAGTTCGGGCACATGACTTGAATTCGTAACAGAAATAGTTTATTAACAATAACGAGTAAGTCCGATGACAATTGTAAAATATGACACTATGAACGGCGGCGGTCGCACGGTACAAATTAACGGGTGACTATTTGGAGTCGCGGTGAGACTTGATTGTCTCTGAGAGCAGGAGATGTCCGTCTCTCGCGGTGGAAGATTTGATTCTGAAGATGCCCAGAGGAACTTTGGTCCAGAGCGCTTTCGGATGCTGTCCTCTAGGGCGGAGTTTTTTACAAAGCGTTTACTGATAGGCGTAGAGAAATTAAAGTAGGATCGATAATCGAAAGTGATTGGTTAATGAGGACTGAGAAGGGGAAAAGTTAATGTTGTTTAAGAAGGCTTAGGTGGGGAATAACAAAAATGGGCTATAGGACTGGAAGTAAACGAATCATGGGCTAAAGGACCGCGGTAGTAGATAAGAGAGCGAAGCGCTAGAGTTTCTGTTTAGACATCCATTTAAATTATGAGCATAATACGTGACTGAATCAATGGTGCTACATGACATGAGAGACACGAGAAAGAATAAACGGAACTTGAAATACGGAAGAAATAGAACACCCCGATCGTTGCAGAGAGCATTCCAAATAATTCTAGCGTTATAATTATTAAATTATAAATTAGTCCTAGCAGTTTGTGTAAATCCGGTACTTCTTCCAACCAAATGGGCAAAATTAGAAGCTGAACCTAACCAAACGTGATATAATTAGAACCTAAATTTGAAAACGTAGGTTTATTTGGCGATTAGGTCGAGGCATAAATTCGGCGTTTTTTCCTTGAAATCATTAAAAAAATCCGTATGAAGTTGCCTCAACTTGCACTGACAATGAGTAAAAAAAAGTCACTATAAGAAAAAAGGGAATTCTTGCGACAAAAAGATTTTTACTTGTTACTATCAGCTAGTTACAGGCTTGATCGAATGAAATTAATATAAATTTTAAACTGTATTCAATTTTCTCAAGCCTAGTTTCGTCATTATTCGTTATGGAGAGCTTTTTTGTACAACATGCGTTTACAAATCGTCTTGGAATGAGAAGTTGATTTGTTTCAAAAAGTGACTTTGTGAAGCGAAGAAACCTGTGGAAGAATTAATAATACACTTGTACAGAAAATTTGGTAGATTTACACTTGTAAGACTAACGTTTCCTCTCAAAACTCATTTATCGGTGAACTCATTTTTTAATTAACTTGGAACAACATTTATTTGCCACTAACAATTTTTTATATCGAGTATTCAGACATTTGACTTAAATGCAATATTTTATTAAAAAAATTGATATAACTTTCAGTAATATTCTTAATGCTTGATGCAAAATTGCCATCATTTGACTTGCAACGCCGATGTTTCCCAAAAGGTCAATTTCACTGGAGCCGAAAAATTTCTTTGGCAAGAAACGGTTAGATTGCCACAATTTTGTCTAAAAAGTCGATATTTCGCCCAGGACAATTCCTCCGAAAGGACATTTTCTTGACTTATACCGTCACTCTTTCGTTATCCTTGCAGAGGATCTGGACATATCCGGACTCAGTCTGCACCAGGCCAAACGACTGGAGATGGAGGCGCAGGTTCGCATCTTGGAGCTGGAGCAATCTCTTGAAACGGAGAGATTACGTCTTTCGGCGTTGCGCCGCTATCACTACCAAATGGTCGACGATAACGAGAAGTAGAGGAAGTATGTAAGACGCGGAGCACGGCCCACGTGCTTCCGATCCCTTTAATTCTGACGTCAATGATAAAAAATTGTTTCGTTGCTCAATAACCGGGTACCGATTGCACAAGTTTCGTGTACCAAAGGTATGAGAAGATCTTTTATGCTTTTATACCTAGATAGACAAAGTGATACACAATTTGAATCAAATTTGCCTCATAAAAGATCATAAGTCATGATATTGCTTACGAGTCCGCATTTGGAATTTATATCTGCAGTGCACAGTGACGAACTAAAACTATGAAACAACGTTAAGGTGAAGTGAAACACCCTTCAGATCAGTCGATTTGAATACAACACTTTTTTTAAAGGGTATTAGACCAAACTGTCCGAAACTTTGACAACATCACTCCTGATCATCTAAGAATTGTCCTGACACATTCAAAACTTGGATTTATGGAAAGAATTTTTTAACTCAGCCGAGACCAGAACTAAAATGGCGTCGAGCTCTCATATTTCGATCAATATACAATTATCGAGGGCTCTGATATGAGAATCGAAAGGGTTAGGACAATTTTACGACAATTTAGAACACTCTATGAATCGATAAACTCGCATCTTAACGGGATAAAGATAAAAAAACTTGTTCAAAATTGTTTAGAATTTTACGTTTCGAATATGGCGGATGCTGCAGATGTACGATGCGTGTATCTGCTAGGGTATAAACGTCTTTTAGTGAACATGTAAACACGTACAAATTTTGAAGAAATAATTAATTTGGCGCTTGTTTTCAAACCTCTTTCGACTTAAGGTGAAGTGAAACACGTCGAGGAATTTGATCGACGTTGATAAAGAAAATTTTTCTAAATACCTTCGTTGCCGACGTTTGTTTTTATATCGACAGCTGTGTCAAATTATATTGGGTATTGTACCAAATGGCATACTCCACCTGTCGTTTTCGTACAATAATAATAAAGAAATTGAAGTAAAACTCCAGAAATCCTCTGGATTCATGCTTTCTGGGGCCCTACTCGACTGCAGAGGGACCCCCTGCGCCATCTGTGATTTCCAGGTCAATTAAATTTTCACTCCGAAACCTCGAATTCCCATCGTTTTGGCATAGAAGCGCATACAACACTTTTTTTGCCTTTATCCCGTTCAAACGCGAGTTTATCGACTACCAGAGTGTTCTAAATTGTCGTAAAATTGTCCTGACCCTTTCGATTCTCATATCAGAGCCTTCGATAATTGTATATTGATCGAAATATGAGAGCTCGACGCCATTTTGGTTCTGGTCTGGGCTGAGTTAAAAAATTATTTTGAAAAATCCAAATTTTGAATGTGTCAGGACAATTCTTAGATGATCAGGAGTGATGTGTCAAAGTTTCGGACAGTTTAGTCTGATACCCTTAAAAAAAAGTGTTGTATTCGAATCGAGTGATTTGAAGGAGGTTTCACTTCACCTTAACTCTAGAGCCACTCAGCTTCCTTATTACTTTCCGCACATGACATTTCGGTTTTGCAGATGCGCCAACATTGAACATTAATCTATATAAAATCCTCCAATGGACCGATTTCCCACCGAATGTTCGTAGATAAACATCATTCTTCTATCTGTCCTATAAAACCATAATCTGATACCCAGGTACCCAGTTATTGAACAAGCTTATAGACGACTTTTGTAACAAATATCTTAAAAATTGTAGGAGGCGAATCTACTATTAACAAGTGTGTATTTTCGTAGATTCACAGATTATTAATTGTTAATAATTATATATGTAAGCCTCAACGAGACGTATAGAAATTGGTCCAACTGTTCCTTTCTATGATCCTTGACCAAGTGCCCTTCCCGTCCACTGTTCGTAGGGACAGTCTTGGTCTAGCAGTATCAGTTGTTTAGGCAATGATCACGTCTTCTCGCCCGTGATTCTTACAAGGAAACATTCCCAAGTGTCCACCCCCGATCTTATTGATTTTCATATATGTCGAAGAACACAACAATCTAAGAGACACGTGTTTTTTTATATCTGCAATGGTCCACATTTAAGGGGTGAAACAACCCCGCAAAGTGGTCTGGTCTGGGCTGAGTTAAAAAATTTGGTTAAAAAATCAAAATTTTAAACGTGTCAGGACAATTCTTAGATGATCAGGAGTGATGTGTCAAAGTTTCGGATAGTTTGGTCTAATACCCTTAAAAAAAAGTGTTGTATTCATATCGACTGATTTGAAGGGTGTTTCACTTCACCTTAAATGATCTCTTTAATTGCAGGGAGCAGCGAGTAGAGGGAGAGATCGTCGCGCTGCTGTAGATAGCAACGAGTCAAAGGAGATTCATCGTAATGACCACACGTTACCACAGAATTCAACGAATTGCAGTTCCGGCACGAAGCCGCTATTTGATACGCCGTTTACACTTAGATATCCAGAGCTCGAGTTCTCAAGGGAATCGACGAATCGTCCTTGCTACCCGACCAAGCACTCCACCGGAAGATATATCAATGCGTCCTAAGTTATCGCAAACGTCGATTGTTTAAAAATCGACCCCGTTAACACAGCTCAGGCTCCAATGCCGTTATTCATCACGCTACGGTCACTGTCGAATGGGCTGCAATTTGGGTCGCAATTGCGAGTATTCATCTACAAAGAAAAATCAAGTTTAAGGGGATGCGAAAGTAGCATACGATGGGTCAGTCGTTCATGAAACTTTTCGCCGAACTGGGTACACCGAATGGGGTGAAACTTTACAACGTGAATATGGAGGCTATAAGGGAGGTTCTGACCCCCCGTGGAGTTTTATTTTTTATAAACAATTTTTAAGTGTTCTATAAACTAATTTCTTTAAATTAAAACTTTATGGGTGTCGGGACCTTCCTTATAGCCCCCATGTTTACATTGTGAAGTTTGGAACGATTCGCTGGATCCAGTTCGAAGAAAAATTTCATAAGCGAAACCCCTTTGACGCCACTTTCACGTCACATTAAGAGGGTGGAAAGTGACATCCGAGGAGTCAATCGTTTATGAAACCTTTCTCCGAACTGGGTGTACCGAATGGTTTCAAACTTTACAATGTGAATATGGAGGCTATAAGAAAGGTCCCGACACCCATAAAATTTCATTTTCTATAAAAAAAAATGTTGAAAATTTCTATAAACAAATTTAAAAAAAAAATTGAAATTGCATGGGTGTTGGGACCTTCCTTATATCCGTCATATTCAGGTTGTAAAGTTTGAAAGTATTTGTCACGTCCAGTATGGTGAAAAGTTTCATAAACAAGACCTCTCAAATGCTTCTTCGCGTCACCTTAATCCGTTTAATGGTGTAATACGGTAATCTTGATTTTGCCGAGATTTCCAAGGTCATTGATCGACGAACGGGTGGTTCTTCGAGAGCTTTAAGTATCGATTTTCATTGTCATTTTCCTTGCACTGAATTTAGTCCGTTTATGGTGAAACCTGAGGAAAATGTCGACGAAACGAATCGACGTTCCTCAGGTTTTTGGGTGACCATACATTGGTGGAAGTCTGTCCTGGTGAAGCACGCGGTTCCCTATTTTCGTGGGTGAGAGATTACAATATAAATATATATATATAAATGTATATTAATTAAGATAAAGTGTTCCGTTGCTAAGAGAAGCTCCGCTTGTAGAATTGACGTCTTTGCGGCGGTCCAATACTTTATATCGGTATTATTTCCTGCTCACTTGGCGATTCGATTGCACCAGGATTTGAGAACGTTCGAGTATCTTTACTCCGTTCGTGTAATGATAGAAACTGATGACTTTAATGTAACGAGAGGACAATTACGAGTACCGATCGTCGCAAGGAGCAATTTGAGCTTGCTAAGCGCTGCGCACGAACACGTGGATTTCTTTTTAACACTCATTTATAATGCATGATATGGCTAATAACAATGAAGGCTTAGCATTAATCTATTTGTGAAACGCTTTTGGATTGAATCGGCGGCTGTACGAATGCGAGGAACTCCTGGCTTGGATTTAATGCAACGTCCCGGTGGCGATTGTCCCCGGTTGGTATTCGTCGACCGTTCCCTAAAATTTATGAGATTTCTTACGCGTACCTGCGAGACACTCGCCCTCGGAATGTTGAAATTAATTGAGTCGGCTTACTTCCAAAAGCGTTTCTTAAGTAAATCTTGGAGCAACAGATGTGACGATGTCGAGAGCAGGTTCTCATCGCTTGGTACGTCACTTGACATCATCATGCACGAATGCTCCTCTCTGCGCTGCAACATTGTATAACGATTTGTAAAATATTAACGATCTTCTCTCGCAATTTAGTCGTATGCCTGCTTAATTCTGTCCTTGACCTACTAAACGTAAACTCACTCGAAGTACCTAATAACTCGTAGCTTGTAGAGGAAAGTGTTCATAACGTCAGGACTACGAACTACTGGCTGCCTAGAAAATGTGTGTTTCTGAGTAACATTTCGTGATAAGCGGCGACGAGTTCGTTAAATCACGAACTTTAAGGGAGAATGGTACGATTTAAGGTGAAGTGAAACACGTCGAGGAACTTGATCGACGTCGATAAAGAAGATTTTTCTAAATGCCTACGTTGCCGACGTTGGTTTTTATATCGACAGCTGGGTCGAATTATATTGGGTATTGTACCAAATGGCATACTCCACATGCCGTTTTCATACAATAAATATCAAGAAATCGAAGTAAAACTCCAGAAATCCTCTGGATTCATTCTTTCTGGGGCCCTAATTGACTGCAGAGGGACCCCCTGCGCCATCTGTGATTTCCAGGTCAATTAAATTTTCACTCCGAGACCCCGTATTACCATCGTTTTAGCATAGAAGCGCATACAACACTTTTTTTACCTTTATCTCGTTCAAATGTGAGTTTTTCGATTACCAGAGTGTTCTAAATTGTCGTAAAATTGTCCTGACCCTTTCGATTCTCATATCAGAGCCTTCGATAATTGTATATTGATCGAAATATGAGAGCTCGACGCCATTTTTGTTCTGGTCTGGGCTGAGTTAAAAAATTTGGTTAAAAAATCAAAATTTTGAATGTGTGAGGACAATTCTTAGATGATCAGGAGTGAGGTGTCAAAGTTTCGGACAGTTTGGTCTAATACCCTTAAAAAAAAGTGTTATATTACAATCGACTGATTTGAAGGGGGTTTCACTTCACCTTAAAATAGCTCCGGTTGAACGTGCTGCCATGTAACGGCAAGCAGGGGCAACGTAGCACTTGTGACGCGGCGTCATGGTTGCACCGTGCCTTGGAAGTCACGGCACAGCGATTTTGATGTCAAGCAGCCCTATCCCAGGAATATCAAGCGCAGAGTCACCGGGTGCCGGGTCTCGATACAAATTTCATACTTCACGTAAAGAAATGAAAACGTTGTTAATAAGCAATTCATTAAAAAAAAACATATCTATTGTTCTACACGACGAAAGAACTCGACAATTTATAATTTTTGTACGTTTTCGCGATGCATGTACGTACTACATAGAATGAAAAACTGTACAAGGGCCCCGATAAGTACGGTCACGTAGCCGACTGTTTCTGCCCGTCCACTGCGCATCTTCTACAGCGCATGACGTCACGACGTACAAGTTGTGCTCATGGCCGAAATTCGCTCACGTTTTAGGCGAGGGAAATGTCCTCGTTGATCGCTTCGCATGTTCGATCCCAAAAATGTCGAGTTCCGCTATTTAACGACGGTTCCCAGGGATATGGGGTGAAATTAACAAGAGTACAACTTTCCCGGCGTGGGCCTTTTTTGATTTCCATTAGTGGTTCCGTGTAACGGTGCAGTAAGCATTCAACGAGCAACGACCGGGCCCCATGTTGGACCGCCATGACAGATCTGTGAACTGCCCGCACAGATTTTTATTCATTACTTATATTTTTTCTGCAAAATAATTAAAAAATGTCGCCCCGCAGGGAAAGTTATATCTTAAAGAAGCTTTGATATCATCCATTCGAGTTATTTAACACTAGGTTTACGGGCGTTTTATATATACCTGTTTCTACGAGCATCCGTCAAATTGACGGGTAAACGAAAACACGCATTTTCTTTAAAAAATCGATTTATTCAAATTAAGTCTGAATTAATCAACACTAGGGTTTACGTTTAAATGAAGTATTAATAAGTAAAAAGTCCTTTTTTAAAAATTATCACGGAAATGATTGGAATGCTCGTCCTCTCATCCTCGGAGTCAGAACTAGAAAGAATGCGCATCCTTTTCTTGCTACGACACCCTTTCAAGAAGTTTTCCTCTTCACTATCCGAAGATCCTTCTATCTTTCCACTTTCAATGCAAACTTTCACTCTCATCTTCGCCTTACACTCTCTGCAACGAAGCAAATATATATGGATTGTTTATGAAATTAGCTAGTCCGTCAATTTGACGGGTTTCGTAGAGATAGGTATACTACATACAGATTTTAATAATTAGAAGGCTTAGGAAAAAATAATTGTGTGTACAAATTCTTTGGATGAAATGATTAATTTACGATACAAAAATGGTTAAAATTAATGCTATGGTTCTTTCGGTATTTCTTTTCGAAGTTTGAATTCCGTCAAATTGACGGGTCCCGTAAACCTAGTGTTAAAGTACATCATGTACAGACATTTTTGGGTGCAAAGTTCCCCCGCTTCTAGCACTCGTAGGTGTGAAAACGCGCACGGAGAAAATTATGTACCATTCTCCCTCAAGATAATATGAGAGTGGCATCTGAGGGATCGATCGATTATGAAACTGTTCTTCGACTTGAGTACATCGAATCGATCGAAATTTTACAACGTAAATATGAAAGTCTTTAGGAAGGTTCTGACCCTCAGGAAATTTCATTTTCTTTCATATTTGTTTATAAACATTCTTAACATTTTTGAATGAAAAATGAAATTAATGCATGGTTTTCAGCACCTTCCATAAGGTAATGTGAATAGGTCATTCTATACATACCAAAAAGTCATAAGTTTTATAAAACTTTTGTCCAAACTGAGTTATTTAAAACTTTAACACGTGACTATGGAGATCCTAATAAAGGTTTTAAAGTTCGCGAAATTTTATTTTTCGAAAAATGAAATTTCGCGAGTTTCATTAGGATGTCCGTAATCACATATTAAGGTATCAAATTATTCGGTGTACCCAGTTTGGAGAAAAGTTTTATAAACGTTTGGACTTTTTGGTATAAATGTGACACTTTAGTAACACCTTAAAGCCTTCATATTGACATGGTTAAGGGCGCTCACCACTTCAGTGATTTTGCAGGGCCTCACGGGGATAACGGTTCCGAACGTATTTCTAAACCGATCGAGCTTAACGAGTGCTCATATCGAAGATGAAACGTTGACCTGTGTTTATATGGGAGCGATTTTCGATAAGTGGTCATTTTCATATAAAAAAGTGCAACGACATAATTTCAATGCCCTTTTACCTAGGAAGGAGGTGCTCGATCGAAAATCGCTCCCATATAAACACACGTCAACATTTTATCTTTAAAACGAGCACTCGTTGAGCTCGATCGGTTGAGAAATACGCTCAAAATCGTTGTCCCCGTGGAGCACCTTTTTCAGGATTTTCAAGTTTCTCGCGAGGAATTTGGGCATTCCTTAGCAACCGTTGCCGACTCTAGGCGGAGCGTCCAACTTGCGTGTGCGTGCGGCCGAGTGTCACACACGTTTCGGCGCCTAGTCCAGAGGCGTCTAGCCGTTGTGTGAGTTGTATACGTGCAAAATACGCTCACATTTTTCGTCCGTTGCTAAACACTGC